ACTAGAGTTGACCGTTGGGTTGGTTCATTTCAGTGCTGTAGGGAGGATTCATCGGACGATAAGTATTTTCTTAATTTGTAATTAAGAATTTTTAATAAATATAAATATTTAATAGAAGATAGTAATGCTGATATAATCTACTAAATTAGCCATACGCACTCGACCCCTTTGCAAGACAAAGTGAAATTTAAGAGATTATATGTGCGTTCATAAACAATGCTATTACCCCTTACAGTTGCAAAAATGAACCAACTCAAGGATCAACTGTAGTTGCGCCGACTATACCTTTTATTAACATGGCGATTGTATTGTGGATGGTCCGATAAACCATATTTTCCATAAGAAATTTTCATCATCTCTGGTTTAATTTGTGACAAGAAAAGTAGCAGACTCGATATATAATAGATGTTTGAAATCCTGGTCTTCAGTTTCACTTTTGTCTGTTTCTTCTCTCGAGTACTAAGAGGACTTTTTCCTTACCTGTCATGGATTTGGCCAGACCCATATTATGATTGCCGATGGTAATCCAACATGTTCGGAACAGACTATCCATGAAGAATTCCTGAGGTTGCTTGTCCAGTTTCGATCCCGGGTTCTCCAGAATGGTAGACTGAAATTAAAATCGTCTTGGCCATCCGGCCGTCCAAAATTTTGGGAATATTAATTAACAGATGTAAAAATCGCATTTTCGCATATTATTTTCAAGATTTAACGTTTGAACTTTAATTGTCAAAATTGTAACTTTAAAATTTCAAATGATAGCCCATATCTTATGACATATTGTTTTGAAGTTTTCATACTTTATTTATTGTCCTAATTTGCCAATCAGCGACCAAATGGATAAAACTAATAAGATTAAGAGTCTCTAGTAAGAGGTTGGCATTCTCAATTGGACACCATGTTTCGTGGGGTCGACATTCCAACGAAATAAAACTAATTTCCGATTTTTCTTCTTACGAATATTAAGAAGGAATTCTTAATATTCGTAAGAAGAAAAATCGGAAATTTGTTTTATTTTCGTTGCAATTTTCTTGCAGTAATTAGGATTTTTGCGTAAAGTCACTTCAGAAATCTATCGTATATTCAAATTTAAAAAGTATTTAAGAAAATTGACTCAAATTGTTTATAAATGAAAAATTATTGTTGTTTTATGAAACTTGAGTTTCAAATTCAAATTACTGGATGTTTTTCTTCTACGTAATGTTCTCCAATTGTAGTGTCCGTGAAAAAAATAACGTCATATGTTTTTTTGGTCATAGATTTCATTCAAAAATCAATATCCATCATTATTGAATCGTGTTGGGCGCATTGTCTGGTAAAGCGGATTTAATACAGATGGATAAACAAACCAATGATGTAATCCGTTTCAAATGAAACGGACCATGTCAATGGTTTGCTTATCTAGCTGTATTAAAGTTGTTTTACCAGGCAGCACACCCATTGAGACATTTCATAAACCCAGGTACGATATTTAATAATAGTTACGACTACTGCTGATTTGCTTAGAAAGATGAAAGATTTCTTTGTTTCAAAAAATTGTATTATTGTTTAATTAACCAATAATATAATTTCGCAATTTTATCTATTGTCTACTGAAAAATTACTGCACTGCTCATATGCTGTGTAAGCATATAGGCCTACACTTCTTTTTTCTCAATGTGCATAACAATCGATCACTTTTTAGAAGTATTTGTATTTGTATCGATCTCTCAAAAGTATTTCAGAGAATCGTTTTCCTGATGACAGCAAAATATTCCAGTCTAATATTTTGTAATGGATCATATTGTCATCTCTGCAATTCATTATTATTACTAAATATCAATGACCCGTTAACATTACTATCGTAACTTATGACAAGTTTAATGCTGTCGGTTTTGTTATTATTTTTTCCTATGTCAAAGTTAAAAATTCATTATACTCATATTTTAAAAGTTTGAATAAGTAATTTAAAAGTAAATTGAATTGCCTAAATAAGTAATGGTAATTGAAAAATAGTATTTAAATAATTTGTTAATAGAAAATGATAAATTTACGGAAATATTTCCGGAGAATAAAAAGTATCATGTTTTCGGTTAGTAGCCCTACTGTATTACCAAACTTAAGAATTACTTTATAAATTTACGTAAGAAATCCGAGAATAAATAACGCGTAATAATTCTTTCTAAAATAACGTTATATATTATAATAAATAACAATAAAACAGAAAGAGATAAAAGTTTTAGAGAGAAAAATACTGTATTTGTGTGATTTTACAGTAATCACGACTAACAACGCTCATGATATACAAAGACTTATTATTAATTATTAATTAATTAATTATAAATATACTTGTAAATGTTCATTTTATCTGAGTAATATACATTTTTACGTCTAATCGTCGTCATATTTATACTTTCTCATTACAAACACTTAGAAATCACATTAAATTGACGTAAAAGAATAGGTTACGCTAATCTGATAAAACAGATGAAATCACAACACGGATGCATTCGTCATCATCTATTGCAGTAATTGTAAAAAATATTTTAAAATATCTAATAAATGCTTAAGTATTTTACTTAACATTTATTAGATATTTTAAAACATTTTTTACAATTACTGCAATGTAAAAATGTAGGCCTATATCTTACGATATTTAAGTTTAAATTTTACATATATTATATAGACAATATTAACTTTAAAATATAAAAAATTGTCACACGACCTTCAATTGGTACAATTTTTCCAATATCCCTGTAAATCAAACATGATAACGTGGAAGTAATCATTTCCTACCAAACCCTCAGTCTAATCACAGAGTTCTTGCTAACTTAATTTTTGAATAATTTTATGAATGAATGAGCGAACGGACATACGAAGGAATACACGGATTAATAAAGTAATATAAAATATACTTTTTAATTAATTAAAAAATGTAATTATGATAAAAAAGCAATTAAAATGTTTATAATTTAATAATTTATATCATAATAATATTATTTATTGTAATAAAATATAAAAATATTATTTAAATGTTTAAAAGTCAGTATATTGTATTTATGTAGAAAATATCCCACATATCATTTACAGAGCAGAATATCACATCAAATTTTTGAGCATTAGATGTCTCCAACCATTTTAAGTTTATTTCTGTAGCCTAATCCTTATTTATATAAATAAATAAAACAATAAATAAATAAATAAATATCATGTGAATGTTTGAGATCAATATCAAACGTTTAAAAATTGAAAACTTGCTATTTTCTAGCAATTTTAAACGTTTACTATTCTTGATTTTTCCTTTTTTCTCATTTGTGAAGCACTAGCAGGTAATAGGCAATACAGTCGACCTCAGTTGTACTCATTACAGACGAAATTATCTACAGTAGAATCAAACAATATGATTGACAGATGGAAAATGTCATCAGAAATATCATTGAAAAATTATGGATGCAAACGGACTTGAGTCCGACTACTCACAAGAATTCTTATTTAGTAGTTATTCATCTGATACTAGCTTTCAAATAAGAAAAATATAAATTTTGCATTGATTAAATCATTTTGCCAAATTATTAATATTTGATGCAAACTACACTATTATAACAGTAAGGCTTTGATAAAGCTCTACTCTTCAATTCCTGAAATGAAAAAGTATTTAAATTAAAAAATTTTTTTCAAATAAAGTAGTTCTTAAAATATTAATATAAACTATTTGTATAGGTGTTACTATAAAGATAGGAAGAAGAAATACAATAAATCTCATTTTGATGTTTTATGTTTATCTGTGTTCACATACATTAACTAGGATATGAACTTCTGAACCTAAATTCGTGTAATTAACATTAATCTATATGAATTTGGGATCAGAAATTTAATCTTTTCTTACAAAAAGTCGACGAAAGATGGACGTATCAAGTAGGAGTTTCGATCATACTTGGGATTTTCATTGAGGATTTTTTAAAAATTTTATAACAGATAAGAAATATAATTTTTTTAAATCTTAATTTTAATATTTGAAAGATAGTATTTGAATGTTCGTTCATTTGATTATTAAAATCGCTCTGCGTACTTGATTATTAAAATAATTTACTAAAATCATCATCAGAAACACTGGCTAAATATGAAAAAATATAGGAACATTAACTACAAATAAAATATAATTATAGGAATGAGTGTAACTGATGAAAAGTCTATGAACATATAAGTCTACATGGATAGTTATACATATATACTGTATATATTTAAAAAAAATCCTGTTTCTAAAATATAATCTACATAAAATGATTAAAAAACAGCATCATAAAAATCTTACTCCAGAATATTTTAAACACAGAAAAGACTATAAAGTATTCTACACAAAGTCGTATTCAACAAATCTTACACAATAGGCTAGTTTTGGTGGGTTTTGTAAAATATTTTCCTAATACAATAAATTAGAAATAATTAATCAGGAAAGTTTAGGCTAATTTATTTTGAAAAAGATAGACTACTGATTAAAGTAGAATTTACAATATTTTCTTCTAATAGATTTAAAGTTTCGCTCAAAACTAAACAAATTTATCACACAGGCTATATTAAGAATTTCAGATAGTCTAAATCGAAATGAGAAAAAAAAAGGCGGCAATTTAAAATATTGATGCAAATGTAACGCAAAATTACAAAAATATATAAAAGCAATAACGAATTTATTATATGAAATACAAAAAACAATTAAAAATAACGATCTAAGAATAACCGTAGCACCATTTAATATATATTAAGCTATATTTACAACTGCGTTTCGCCTCATTAAAGTTAGCGCTACGATTTAGTCGTCGGCGTGACGCGATAATTTTGAAATGAAATTCACACTGAGATTTTATCTGACCGATTAATATAAGAACGGTGTAATTATAGTTTATTTTAATTTCGCAAGTCAATCTTTGTTTATATCAGTCACTCCGTCTCGTCCTTTTCATTTTGACAGAGTGAAGAAAGGCGGAAGGAAAATCACTTAAGGTTCTTATTTTCTTCGCTAGATGTCCCTACTTTAAAAATACGCAATGTAGCAGAGGAGGAGTAATAACGCCGTTTCTCTGCCATTTTTAGCAAGTGTTGGGCGTAGTTTCAAAGGCGGGTTATCGATCTAGTAGTTTGAAAGAAGGAACGAGGGCCAAGAAGCTTCCTAATTCGTCGACGAATGGCTGACATCACGCCCGAATTAATTTTATGCCGACTGAAGGGGATTTGGTCGAATATGGCGGACCGGCTGGAAGATCTGGTGTACACGGACGACTCAAAAGAAATGATTGATATTATTAATGTTTTGTTAATAGGTTGGATTTTATTGGGTTTAATCGTTTATATCGTCGGTAACATCATCGCTAATCAACTTCATAAGTATAAGAAAGGAGAGAAAGCGAAAGAAACACCTGAGCCGAAAGACAGTGCGATAGAAGTATCATCGGCCAAACCACCTTTGCCTTCCGATTCATTAGTTAATCATAAAGCGAACATTTTGAAAGATGAACATAAATCGACAATCGAACAAACGGAGAAAACATCTACAGCCTTTCCTTCAGCTGAAGGTTCGGATCCTGATGCTGTACATTGGACCAACGACCTCTTGGAATGGGTCCAGCTTCCGTCTTCAACCCCTTTCCTAATCCAAGCGTGGATTCGATGTTTGAACGAAAAGATTAAGAAACAAGTAAGTCTCATATGTTTACACTTAATGATGAACAGTGTTTTCAACATTTTAATATTTATTCTTTCCATTTTTCATCATGCAAGATTAAATTTCTTTAAAAATATTGATCTGTCAGATTATTTTTTTATTTTGTAAATCACATTCTTCAATAGTACAACGATAATCAAGCTATCAGAATGTTTTTAAAGTATTTGCTTTTTAAGATAATTTTATTCACAACCTTTGATAAAGAAAATAGAAGATTTTAGTTCAATTAATAATAATAGCAAGATAATTGATTATCTTCTGCATACACCCAGTAGATGATTAGACACTAATTATAGGTGATATTATACTAAATTGTTTTTGTACTATACCAAAGAAAATTAAGTGCATGTATATTCTTGTATATTTTGAAAAAGTAACGGTAAACATACTCAAAATATAGCCAGAGTATGGAAATTTTTGTATTTTGTACTGTATGATTGAAGTCCAATTAGAAACATCATAATAGTTTTTTGAAATAATGACAATTATATAACATTTACTTAAAAAAGAAATAAAATTTATGAGCATTACAAGTTTTATATTCAATTGTTTGGATTGCATTATGTAGGTGCCTTGAAAAATACTTTTACAAGTTTCTACATTAAGAGTAAATGAATATTAAAATGCATGTATATTCGTTAAAAGAAAATATGTGATACTTAAAGGGTTAAACAATGTAAAATCTGAAAAATAACAGATTTAAAATTCATTCTTGAAAATCAAAAATTTATTTTTGATGGTAACTAAATTTTAGCATAGTAAATAGTGCAAATAATATATTAGTTGACAGTAGATGTGAATTCTAAACTTAAAAATATGCAAACATTTTGTTGAAAAAATTTTTGTCACTAGATTAATTTTCAAAAGCTTTTCTGTAAAAATATGCAATTAGAAAGAAAATGTAAAGTAAAGTTAAAAGTTAAAATGTTTTTGTAATAACAGAACAATTTTTAGAAAGAAAGAACATGGTTTATATTTTTATTTGCTTCTTTACTGATTAATAATAATTATTATAATGAAATTTAATGTAATTATTTATTTGAACATTCAGTGGGAAAAAGCTGGCTACAGTGCAATGTACCAATGTGCAATTGAAGTTGCTAACTATGGGATGTACTGCTGTGAATATATACCGTGTTTCCCCGAAAATAAGACAGTGTCTTATATTAATTTTTGCTCTGAAAAAGGCCTAGGTCTTATTTTCTGCAGATGTCTTATTTTCAGGGAAACACGGTAACAGTTTATGATTTATATGCAAAATGATTGTCTTCTTTAAATGAAAGTTATCAACATATATAATAATATATAAAGGCCAGTAATGATGATTATAAGTTTCTTCAAGTAACACATGAAGAATCCAACAAAAAAAAAGAAAGATTTAATACAAGAAAAAAAAAGAAGTAACACAAATCAAATCCAAGCCAATAATGTAGAAGTCTTCTGCTTTTTTACTAAAAGATGTATTTACAAATGCTTTCTTCAATATTTATAATTTGCAAATTAATGCCTATCAGAACAAATGTTACTTCAAATATTTTGTAACTGTTTCTAGATTTGCTTGGTAATAGATAATGCAAAATAATCATTAATAATGATTATTTATACTGTATTTCTTTGCATTTATCTGTTATTTCTAATGATTAAACTAAGGATTTAACTAAAATATTTCTGTCAGGATAAAAAGCCAATTTATTTATTATTAATTTTATTGGTAATAAGAAAAGATAAAAATGTATACTGTATTAAAGTTTTAAAATTTTTTCTTGCTAGTTTTTATTTGTAGTGCACTTTGTTTCTGAAATCAATGTCCAGCAATAGTCAGCTAACATTTGTTTGCACATGTTAATGCTATACATTGCTTTTAAAACTTATTTATGTAGTGACACATCAGGAGTATATTATTAATAATAATAATAATCTTGAGAATTTCTCAAGAATGTGATAGCTAAATTTCAAATTTGCTTAATAATCATCATAAAAAAATATATATAGTACACCTAATAAAGTGTAAGAAAAAAATCATGTTTACCAGTGTACGATTTGACAGCTGACCATAGCACATTACAATTTAAAATTTAGATAATGGTTTATGTAAATCCTTGACAATTGTTAGTTATGCTATATCATTTGTAATGCTTATGCATAAGATATTTAATTAATGATCCCTATGTTTAAATTAAATATTATATTGCACTTTCCTATGAGTATAATAAAATATACAATGTTTAAAAATAGGTTAAGGAATATTGTAATAACAGCTTAGCAACTAGATTGTACAACTAATAGTCAAACAAATAAGAAAACTTTAATACATTTAAGAAACTTTAGAGATGATCTCACAAAAAATTAATTCTAGTGTAACATACTATATTTTGCAGTTACGGAAATAATAACATATCTGATATAAAAAATATTTAGAAATTCTTTTCTCATTGTTATGATTATGCTAGAATTCTAAATAAAATTGATTCTCCAATTGTATTGAGTAGCAATTTTATTGAATTAATTGAGGAATGATATGAGCAAAATTGAAAACTGATGATGTAGACATTAATTTGAATTATCTAGCATTTTTTGATTTTATGTAAACTGCATATTAAAAAATGTCTACTACACATTTTGGTATTATTTAATTGGTATTGGTATATCAATTTTGGTATAATAAACATAACTAAATTTTTTAATTAAATCAATAACTATTTACTTTTTATCATATATAATATGTGAATTTTGAAATTAATAATATTATTGTTAATATGAATGCTATATAATTTTGTATTAGTCAAGATAACATTCTGAATAATAATTTAATTAATATATTAATTATTCTAAATATTAAAACATAATTAATTGATATTGAAAATATATGAGGTAAACAAGTTTATTCATTAATACAAAAGTTTATTTGTTATAAACAGTGGTGAATTTTTGCACAGGCACAAGAGGCACTTGCCTGGGACCTCAAAATTCAGCTCTCAAAATAAAAATCAGTAGTAAATTTGAAAATAAATTATTTTTTATATCCATGGATTACTAGATTTTTTTTTGTATTTAACACTTTTACCTATTGAAACTTAATAATTCTTATACCAATAAGTTTCAATTTTCATAATTAATATAATCTGAACATCAATAACCTTTTAAATATAGCCAGGCAATTGTAATTTTATATTGGTTAATTTTCAATGTTATTTCTCTGTCTCATGTGTTTAGGACCACCAGTATAGTGCCTACCAGAGTAAAAAAAACTTCTGCGTAGATTGCACACTGTAGGGTGTAGGGGTAGTGAAAATATTTAGAGAGGGCCTAAAAATTGGATTGCGCCTGGAGCCTCTCAAGTATTGAATCTGCCACTGATTATAAATGATACACATTTGATAGTGTTTATTTATGAAATCAAAAAATTAAAATTTTCACTATTATTCATATACTTGAAAAAGTTTTTAAGGATAGAATATGTTAGAAAATTTATCTTGTTCTTTTTAATATTACTGTGTTCATTTACGTTAGCAAAATATATACAGTGTGTTTAGATACAAAAGTAATTAATAAAACTTCAGTTTATTAAAAAAAAACAACAATAATGCATAATAAACAATAAATATTCTCAATAATTTTTCATTTCCTTGTTATGCTATTGCTCAATCAGCATATAGTAATTTGCTTCATTCATCAAAAATAATTATCTCTTTTGCATAAAAAGTAGCTATGGGCTTGTAGTAAAAATAGGTGATACATTTAGATTATGAATGTCAGGAACATGAATCAATTTGCATATGAAAAATTGATGTAGGTAATTAAGTAAAACAAGCCTAATTATTTTTTTATTTTAAACTTGTGCTTTTTAAATTTTATTAATAAACTTCAGATAAGAGAGTGTGCTGAATATAAAATAATACTTGATCTTTACATCAGATGAAACATTTTTTATTGTAAGATACTTTTTACATTTAGTTATGTTTCATAATTTGGACTTAAATTGAACAATTGGAGTGTAGCTTGCTAATATCATTTTAATTAATTTTAATAACTTCCTTCTTGTTTATTATAAAATTACTCAGAAAAATATATATTTGGTTATAAACTGTCAATATACAGCATTTGTAGGCAAGATTAAATTTCTTTAAAAATATTGATCTGTCAGATTATTTTTTTATTTTGTAAATCACATTCTTCAATAGTACAACGATAATCAAGCTATC